GAGCATGCAAATCTAGTTCATCTATCGGTAGAGGAGGAGTTATTATATGTGACAGTGATGGCATGGAAATGTCAGCAGAAAATGTTACTAATCAGCCCTTTTTAGATTATACATGGGCAAAAGTTACCAAGGTTGCTTTGGTCTTGATTAGAACCCGACCAATTTTGGGGGGAAATCCACCAATTAACGATATGGCGGCTGATATAGTGAATTTTTGAGCTGGAATGAAAATAGAATAGAATTAACTCTGCAAAGGTACTCAGAGGACTGCATTCTTAAACAAATAAAAAGAAAAATTATTTAAATATTTAAATTAAATATTCTTATTTTTTTAATATTGGCTACATTGTCAACCAATTCTAGAAATAAATAATGCATAAAAATAAACTACGTTTTGTATTATATATTGGAAAAAACAGTTTTCATTTTGGTGTTTATCAGATGACATATATGCTGATACGATACCGATATGTCTGCAATAGGCCAATATTATCAATAACGGTAAATGAAGCCAACACAGAAGTAACAAAAACAGTTCCTTGAACTGCCACTTGAGGCTGGCAAAGGTAATCAGTGTCCATAAGGCCCCATGTTAAAATGCCCAGTGGAGTCAAGACTGACAAGATGGCGACGGCCAAAGCCGCCACACCTTGAGTTTCATAACGGCTCTTGAGAAACCTATAGGTGACGTCACGTCAAGTCCATTTTTAATCATACAGTCTGTCTATAGAGTCACTGTTACTGCAGCTCTGATCAGTGTCATGGACCCAGTCATCAAAGTACTGACCCAAAGTGGCATGAGGGAATAGGGATTAGGGCAGTAACTAATACATATTTTATACCATCAATTAAACTATCTAATTTTTTTTTATCAATCAGTTAGTCTATAATTATTAATTAATTGTATCGAGCAATTAATCAACTGTTACAGCTCCAGGAGGAATACTGTAGATGTACAAATCCCTGTGGATTGTTAAATGTTAAATTGTCAAAATATTCTGGTTGGGGCTCGGTATATTGAGAGTCTACAGGAACTCAGCCAGCCTGGTGGTGGGCGTGCAATCAAATGCCAAGAGTAGAATCATAAAAACATAAAGTTACCGATAAAAATTAAACTCTGAGACCTTTGAAGTCATCCATGATTAATAACCCACGTGTGGTTCTCTCGTGAACTGATCCCCTTGCAGTTCCTCCCGGCCTGGATTTTGGACGACACTGTCTACTAAAAAAGGGAAAGGCTTGATCAAGAGCTGAAATGATAATCCGAGGTAGGCGTCGGACGGGACATGCAGAGGTAATTCCAAGGAACCCTGCCCTCCGGATCTGAGGTATCCAGTTTCATCTCTCGCTACATGCCTGGTTACCTATCCGCAAAAACATGAACATCAACTTCAGATGACAGCAGGCTAAAATTGGTGGCTATCAAAACCCAGGAACTGGCAAGGATTGGCTGGGGTATCCACTTTCTAGAGTGGAAGCCCTGGGTTCAAACACCTCAGGATGAAGAGACTGTGTGCTCCGCTCACTGGTAGAGCGGGTAATGGGGACGGCATAAGCACAGCTTAGGCTCTATTAGGTAAAAACTTTCACACTATTAATTAGATGCAGCTGCACACGCTCCTCACATCTCAGCTATATAGACTGGCTGATGAGTGAAGAATAAAATGTAGGCTGTAATCCATACAAAGTTCACCCCACAGTGTAACACATGTTCATGATGATGAGATGTCCAAAATCGCAAGGTTGTGCAGAATTGGCGGTGATTGGTTGAATATGCGTTAATTGTTGCGACTATTTTAAAGACTCAGCAAGGCCAGTGTGACATTCCCATAGAGGGACAGCAATCTTTAAAATGAACAATGTGAACCCAGCCAGTATGGTGTTGATATTTTGCAGGTCAATATACATCTAGGTGTTTAGTAGAATTGTACTGGCCTATATTAGGTTAGCGTATTGTATCATTGATTATGTCAGTCGATAAGTAATAAAAAGTACAGAAATTCCACAAATAGGTTTGAGGTTTTTCAGAAAGAGTCACTATTACATTGTTTGTTCATTAGAGAGCACTGGCACTTTGTTCATGCTGTGCATTTATAAACAAAATTACTATCAGCTGATATCATTATTGGATTTCTGGATCTGTCAAATATAGATATTGGTAAGTACTGGCTGGGCTATAGTGTCTATATTAAAACTGGGCTAAATGAGATTGAAAATGTAATGTCTAGGTTACTTATAACTAGTGGGGTGGGGGTGGTGGGGTGAAGGTGACACACAGCAAAAGGCCACAGGTCAGAGTTCAGCAGCAAGGACTCAGCCTTGAGCTCTATGCCAAGGGTGTCCCTTGACAGCATTTTTAATGACTATATTTCAACGTGCAGTTAGGACCTACTCAAATTGAAACATGGTCATAAAAAGTCTGTTGAAGTCTGTATAAAAGCTTTTATCAATCAAATTTAGTCCAGGTTTAATTAGGCATAAGGAATATTGATAAAAATATCTAATATCCATATATATCATGATCTGGTACATTTTCCAAAAAATCGGTTGAGAAGTAGGATAACATAACCAGGAATGTATATTTTTTTAATAATCCAGCAGTTTAAATTCCTGACTAATCAAACTTCTTCATCACATTGGTGCAAAAACCTTGTAAAATTAAATATTTTCATACAGCTCAGTGATTTGCAACGTAGACACAGAAGCGTTCTACACCCAGTGATTTTTAGGTCATAGTTACCATGGTATAAGGTCATATTATGCTATTTTTAACTGGTAATTTCGTCTGCAAATTTCTAAATTACTTCTTACTGATCATTTTCCCATCTAATTCCTAAGTTTCGCTTTTGGTAATATGTTATTTGGAATAATTACTAGTGATCCTTTTATTCAAGATGTCAGTAGACTTAAGGTAAAGCAGCTCGAATCAGACACCTCCTAGATATAGCTCCACCTTTATAGACTCATTCCAGTGTCTGAGACGCTGTCATCACCAGCCCTACAGAGCATACGTCAGACTGGGTCAAATGCCCCCTATTTCATTTCGAGCAGAGTAGTTGGAACTAGAACGATGTGATCCGAAGGAGCTGTTGACTAGCATGGTTGACCTTCTAAAAACTCCTCTTTCAATTCATAACACACTCACTAACATGATACGCACATGTGTTCATTCACCAATTGCACTAATAGCAATGCCGGATACACACTTACAGAAATACACACACACTTTGTAAATACTTGGCCTGGGGTTCGGCAGGAGGAAAGCCAAGGGGAGTCACTGACACAAGTTGCTACTGTGGTTACCTCATGTCTGTAATGGGTTAGGAAGGAACCTCACTCTGTCTATAGTTAGACAAAGACTCCAGAAGATTAAGTGCAATTAATCTAAATTAAAGTGTTTCAGAATATCTGAGCATTGATGTGTTATTAAGACATATTTCATTTAATAATGAACTGTAATATTGACTTCATAATTATTATGCAGTCAACTGACTTTCCAGTCATAATCAATGTTTTTCATCCTGCTAATGTAACAATTAGAGATTGTTTAATGTATTTATCATCATACTATCATAGCTGTTAAACCATCATATAAATATCAGTCGACATCACTGATTTTCCAACAGAAAGAAAATAATTTTCCTGAATAATGATTGGCGAGCAGATATTTTCTTGGTATGAGTGAATCCACAGTATCTTGTTACCATGTGGGTCTCCTGCATTCATAGGTCGAGCCATTAATAACGGTGGGAGGTTCCTCGCTGTCAGCATTCATGGACCCCGCAGGCTTTATGGCTTGTGTCTGCCAGGCTACGTCTCATTACATGCAGTCACTGTGAAGTATGCACGTACATGCATATCTATCTACATATCAAAATGTATGGATTTTTATAAAAGACACAACAACCCACCACAAGCACGCATGTCAGCAGAGTATACAGTATGCATTATAATACCACCACCACCAAATAAGATTTATGATTCCAGAAAGACGAGACGGAAAAGGATTTAGAAAAATGATAAATAAAGGTGACAAAGGATGTTACTGTAGGTTTGACAGATTGATGAAGTTTGAATTCTTTCGAGTTTTTTTTTTTGTCTTGATCGATGTATGAGTCACGTGTCCATTCCTCAGCTTGTTTGTTATTGTTTGTTTCCTTGGATATAGTCAAGGCCCTGACACCTTGTCTTGACCCAGACAGTCATTTGCTGAACACTATATGCTAACACATTAGCAGCAGGCAGTACCATGTCCTGACATTTGACTCTGAAATCCAACCCTTTGTTCAGTAATGGAAAGGCCAAAAAAAAAAAGTCCTCCTCTGGGAACCCGTGCTTGTTAACCTGACTGTAAAGAAAAACCTCTCTGACATAAAAGTTAGTGATGGCATGTTATACCCGCCAAAGACTGCCCGCATCTACGTAATAACGCAAACCATCCAGGTTGGTTTTAGTAACACTGATTAGCACCCCTGTGCTATTATTGTTGTGCTCCGGTGTCTACAACTGCAGTGACTGACATAACCGATACCGCTTTATGAAGGCAATGGAAGTGGAAAAAACTGAGCTATAAATAGATCACAATGCTGCAGTGCACATATAACTTCACTCTGTATACTCGGGTACATCTTTTAAACTTTTTGTATTATTCAGTCTTTAAGAGTAATAGAAATATTAAACATTAAACATGATAGAGAGTAGACTCTCCCTCTCTGATAAGGGACTAATAAGAGTGGGTGTATTTGCAGCTATTTTTTTCTTTTAAACACTTCAGTATCTCGGTGACCCCGAGGCTAGGTCACTTGTCTTCTGGGGGTCCCAGTGTTCCAAGTTGTACAATTGAGCCCTTTAAGTGCTATGAACGGTGAATATTATTTTGGCTGTGGCTTCCTGAAGATGCTATCCTCTCTGGCTACTCAAGTGTCAGTCAAGCCAGCAGTTTCCACTGGCTGGGTCCAGGAGGGCCCCTGGTTATACGAGGCTGTGTGCTTAAAGGCATTCAAGTTATTTATCTGTCTTATTTATTTAAAGACATGTTTTATATGTAGCTGCAGAAAAAAAAACCTCACTACGCTCAATAAGCTGGATCTATTTGCCACCTTCGTCTGTACTCCTGGTTTTCTAAAACTGTAGACACCGGCCGGGTCCTGGAGGTTCCCCTTGAGACAGGAATAGCCCCATGATTTCATGAATGAGGGACCTGCAGGGTAAGAGACTCCATTTCTGAGTCGACTCTGGATCTGGAAAACTTATTGGACCTTGCTCTGACCAAAGAGCTTTGATATGGGATATTTACTTCAAACAGATTAACCTGCAATTAAAATGAAAAAGATTAAACTTGTAAGGCTGCACGTTTACTTGGAAACCACTGCACTGCTACAGTGAAGTGAGGGAGTGAGTGTGAGAGGGACAGCAGCAGCAGCAAGTGTCATCTGGTCTTCCAACTTGGGGAGGGCTTTGGAGTTTAAAATGGTGTGAATATGATAGCCATCGGTATAGCTTATGCAAGTGGAGATCTGTCTGCACCATTGAAAGTTGACAGTTCAGAGGCACTAATCTGACAAAAGGACGGCGTAAATCAACAACAGCACAAAGATTTTGGGACATCAACAGATAAAACTGTTGTGCTGCACTTTGTGCGTAAAAGAAAAAAAAGGGGGGGACTTTGCCTGAATCGTTGGCGGCTGCATGACAAAGAGAGTTGGGAGGACGCAGAGGCAAAAGGGCAAGAGGAAGGCACCAAGGAGGTGAGTGACGGATTTACCCTCGGAGGGGTAAAAAAGATGACCGTGGTGTCCCAGGAGAACCACGACGAGACTGTGGTCGTAACTCCTTTGCTGCAAGATGCTGCGGACTTGGAACCAGCGGACCAGGAGTGCAGCGAGAGGGTGGTCATCAACATCTCAGGTCTGCGTTTTGAGACGCAGTTAAAGACCCTGTCCCGCTTCCCGACCACGCTTTTGGGAGATCCACGTAAAAGGATGCGTTTCTTTGACCCGCTGAGAAATGAATACTTCTTTGACAGGAACAGGCCGAGCTTTGACGCCGTCCTCTATTATTACCAGTCAGGAGGGCGGCTTCGGAGGCCCGTAAGTGTCCCTGTGGATATTTTCCTGGAAGAAATAAGGTTTTATGAACTTGAGGAAGAGGCCATAGAGCTTTTCCGAGACGATGAGGGCTTGGCGAGGGAAGAGGAGCGCCCGCTGCCTGATAACGAGTTTCAACGCCAGTTTTGGCTCCTGTTTGAGTATCCAGAAAGTTCGGGACCTGCACGGATAATTGCCATCGTGTCAGTTATGGTTATCTTAATATCCATTATTATATTCTGCATGGAGACTTTACCCGAGTTTAGAGAAGTACCCGTAGTCCACGACACTCACGCCAATGGAAGTGCTCAAGACCAAGCGCCCAGTCCGTTCACTGATCCGTTTTTCATGGTGGAGACGCTTTGCATTGTGTGGTTCTCTTTTGAATTCACCATGAGATTTCTCTCCTGCCCCAGTAAACCAGCTTTCTTTAAAAACATCATGAACTTGATCGATGTCGTGGCTATAGCTCCTTATTTTATCACCTTAGGCCTTGATCTCGCAGAGCATCAGGGCAGCAGTCAGCAGGCTGCGTCTTTGGCCATACTGAGGGTCATCCGTCTGGTCCGTGTTTTCAGGATTTTTAAACTTTCCAGACACTCCAAGGGTCTCCAGATTCTCGGCCAAACGCTCCACGCGAGCCTCAGGGAGCTGGGACTGCTCATCTTCTTCCTGATTATTGGAGTTGTTTTATTCTCCAGTTCTGTTTATTTTGCAGAAGCAGAAGACCCTGATTCTGGATTTTCAAGTATACCTGATGCGTTTTGGTGGGCTGTGGTGACAATGACCACAGTTGGATATGGAGACATGTGTCCCTCCACCATCTGGGGGAAAGTCGTTGGATCTTTGTGTGCCATCGCCGGAGTGCTAACCATAGCTTTACCTGTCCCTGTTATTGTGTCAAATTTCAATTATTTCTACCACAGAGAGAACGAGGAGGAGGAAAATATTCAGTACATACACGTGACTTGTGGACAGCAGCAGCTCTCCTTTGGTGAATGTGATTCAAACAAAAGTAACCAGTCGCTCTCCAAAACTGATTCCTACCAGGAAAGCGACGACTTGGAAATTTTGACACATCCAAACTTAAACCCAGTGGAGGCATACACAGGGAAACTGACAGATGTATAAAACGCACCGTTGGAAGAGGGGTTTTATTTCTGGTGAGTTGTCTTCCAGAGGACGTACAATGTAGGCTCCTTCATGCCGGATGCTGCAGTTGTTTTTACGCAAGCTGCCACAGTGGTTCCCAAACGAGCAGCCACAGATATTAATGCTACAGGCCCCGCCAAAATGACGATTGGCTTAATCTCACTGTAATTAAAGAGAAAATCATTCCTCCTATTGCTGCAACCTCCTTTTTGCTCTCTGCTACTTGAAGTAAACAAAAATAAATGGGGGAACTATGCACTAGAGAGTCATACTTGGGAGCCCTCACACACGAAAACATTTGGGGACGCCTGGGGTGCGCAATAAAACGCGCGGAATATCTGAAATACCATCAGCAGTAATTGAGCCATACGACAACAAACTTCTCAAAGAAGGTAAAAGGCTAATAACAAACTAATAAAACTAAATTTGGAGATATTTTCTAGTCTCTCAAGCCCTTAAGTGGCGTTTACGCACAAGGAAACACAACCAAACGAACCAAACGTTGCCTTTCTACTGCTGAGAAAATCACATCACACAATCACACATCCTATTTTCAGTGTACTCGAGCTCTGAACAAAGTTGAGGAGAGCTCAGCCGTGCGTCAAAGCGCCAATGACGCACAGCAGCAGTACAGTTTGTAGAGGCATTATGTGTGGCTGCCGTATTTAGCGCACAGTGAAACACTATTTTAAAATACTTTCCAAAAGGTTTTGAGACAGATACAGCGCATAAACTTCTTCGCTGATCCCGTTTCTAATAGCTTGTTTGCCTGTGTGTGGAACTGGACGGCTCTATCTCTCAGGGAGAGAGTTTACATGTTTGTCATCATAAGGTGATAAGCTTTCCGCAATTAAACTATAAATATCTCATAATCACAGTGTAGTTTTCTCTCATGATTATGAGATTATTATTATTTCCTAAACAAATATCATGATTCTGAAAATACGTAGTGAGAAAACATCTCCGACTTTATGTTTCTTTGGAGCCTTCTTCCATATGAATCTGATCAGAAAGGTCAGAACATGTGAGCTCTGAGCGCCACTCTGTGGATGATAAGTATTCCTGCAGACTCCTCTGCTCAGGCTCTACTGTGTGCAAATTGAATACTTGAGTTTGAGGATCTTTTGCACTGTTGGCCTTGGCTGATTTAGGCGTAATCCCCGGAGATCATGCTCTTTGACTCAGTACGCATCCGGATGCTTGTGATGGTTAACTAAGCTCACCAGGAGCCTGCCTGCTTTCACTTACCTCCTCATGTTAACACAGTGAGATTTGTTTTCTGCTTACTTGCAGGAGGCAGACGATTAAATGAAGCTTCTTTCTCCCTCAGAGTCGCAACAAAATACAAGAGTGGGATTCTCTTCTTCTCCAGAATATTGGATAATTTCCTCACAGTGCAGTGGAAGTGTTTGGGAAATGTTCAGTCTGCCTTAATGGACATTGTGTGTATCAATCATCAGTAGAAAACAACAACATTCTTTTGTGTAGCCTTTATAAATGACCACGCTTTCTTTGTATAAAAGCCTTTGTGTATACTGCGTTTTTGTAATTCTGAATTTTCCTTTTTCTTATGCAGCTTATAACGCAAAGTTGGAGTCGCAACTTACCTCTGTGTTGTTACAAACATTCAGATTGCTTTGCAGCTCGCTGTAAACAACATAGCTCAGAACATTACGATGCAATGTCTGCATGACATGAATTCATTGTGAATTTAAAATGTAATAAAATATTTATTTTTCTAATTTAAACATGTATGTGAACTTAACTTGAACGTTTTATAAATAAATTATGAATCCGAAACAATACCACACGTCATTTTTCACTCTCAATGTAAAAGCGATCAGGCTCACAGAAGGCAAACAGAACAGCAAGCCATTTGTGTAAAAATATCAAATCAATGTCCTTTAATTACTTCAATACACTTAATCATGTTTGGTGCTGAATGATGGGAAGAAAAAGGCGCAGGACCAGACCTTGGGTTGTCTTGCCACCAAACCAATTAACTTAATAAAATGTCATAGTGACAAATGTAGGGGGGATTTATTTGGCTGGAGGCAGATTTTAACAAATGAGACAGGGGTCTGATGACCTGATTTTGTGTTGAATGTGTCTTTTTAGAAAGTCAGAAGACAGTTGTTTTGAGTCACTTCAGCTCAGCCCCTCACTGTGGGTGTAGGCCCCGAAAAAGCCCATCCTCCCACACACCGGCCCCTCGGAGTCAGCACTGGACCAATATAGGTTATTAATTGATTATTCGTTATGATGCCATATGGTGATGAACTGAGTGTGCTCTGCTGTTTGTTTTTTGGGGGATTTGCAGTTTTCCGTGAGGTGAATAAATCATCTGCGCTGTCCGAGGTGCTGAAACTGTCCTCTGAGGCGTGTTGATGCCAAAATTTCACCGTCTTCGTCTCAGATCTGCTCGTCTTCTGGAGCCATATGCAGCAATGAGTGGAGAAAGAGACGTGGCAGATATTGGGCGTGAGACTTCCACACATCCTGGATGCAAGCTCCCCAAGATGTAGTGTTTTTTTTTTTTTTTTAGCTATAAGGGCAGCAAACACATTGTTAACGATGTTATCTTTCTTTATTGCTCACTAGTAAAATGATTAAATTAAATGTGGTCTCACATAGACTCGGATGTGGAGCCAACTAACGCCCGTGTAATCCTTAAATCCTGGAGGGATAGAATGAAAATGTCTCAGCAATTGATAATAAGGCTAGTTATCTGAGTTATGGGTGATCTCAAATGTTACACAGTGTGGATTTAGAGGTTCTTGTTACCAACTGTTCTTTGCAGTCTGATTGCGCCAGTGCTGGCACACAAGCGCTCTTGTTTTTGTGGTGTATAGAGAACTTCTGGCGGCGTGCTTTAGTAGAGCCGGTCTGCATTGCGTCGAAACCCTCCAACTCCTCCTCCTCCTTCTCCCGCTGCCCTCCCCCCCTCCTCTCCTCTCCTCTCCCCACCTCTCTCTTCCCTCACCTCCCCTGCACTTGCATGTAAAAAATGCACAGTAAAACTTGCTTGACATTGTGGAGAAAACATTTGGACCTCGCCGCTGCACCCGACTGTCTCTCAACTATCCATTTTGATTTTTTTTTTTTTGCTCCGAGCCGAGCTGAAGCACATTTCAGCCCGTCATCTTGTCTACTCGCAACAAAAAAAAAAGCAAAAAAAAAAAGCAGCAGATTCTTGCTGATGCAGTGATGTCTGGAAATGGCAAGGGCTCGCTTATTGCCCCTTACAGTATCTCCCCCCCTGAATTGCAGCGCAAGATTTTCTCCTGCGGTACACTGTAAGCTGTTCACACCACCTTGCCGCGGCGCAAGCAACTACCGACGCTACAGCTTTTCCATCTCAGGCTTTCTTCTGTAGACTCACCTGATTTTCACCCTGTTTCATCTCATCTTGGTTCACCACCTAAAGGCGTGATTAGACCTTATTTGAGTGCACTTTTGAGGCGGACACAGTTGGGATAGCGAATACCACAGCGAGGCTCTAGGCTTCTTCTTTTTTTGTGATAGGTGCAATGTAAAGTTGCCACATGACACCCACTGATGCCCCGCCGTTGGATGATTTTACTCGAGGATAAGACGCATTCAAGTCCTTCCAAGATCAACCCACGGTAAGCCTCGAAACTGCTGACTTGTACAACAGATTTCGGTTAGATTAATTGTTTTTTATCGACAGCTGCGGTCCATGGGAAGATGCTAGACAAATACTAGAGTGATTTTCTATTTCGCAGAGGCATCTTTTTCCCCGCAATGGGCCCGTAGGTTGTATGCATGTACAAACATCAGTTGGTATACTATCAGTATCAAATGTTATGCGTCACATCATAATTCAGGCTAGTTAGAGTGGCGTTAAATGGATCACTGCCATGCACCTTTAAAAAACAGGAACCACTGCATTTCTATGTTAAACTAAAGTAAACACCTGGACAGAAATATCATATGAGTATAACATAGGAACGGGATAAAGAAATCACCTGGAATCACCTATAGGAATTTTAATGTAGGATGTAGAAAATACCATGTAGTTCAAGAAGATCATTATATACTCACTAAGGGCTACAACAGAGAGTTTGTAAATGGTTATATTGTAGAAATGTAATTGAAATTCCTTCTTGGGGTAGTGTTTTTTTTTACCTTTACTACTGGATAGCAGCATTAATTGCAGGCGGAGAGAAGAAAATAAATAAATAAACTGCAGAAAATGCTGAGCCAGCAAATATCTTGGCTGTTTGATCCCATTATTTTCTCCTCCCCTCTCTCTTTCTCTCTCTCCCTCTCTCTCTCTCTCTCTCTGGGTGACAGAGGCAGCAGTAACAACAGCAGCAGATGCACCGGAGAACAGCAATGGTCAAGTCAGCGAGAACCGCAGTGGAGCCGCACTGAGGCAAAGCAGCCAACCAGCCCCCTCGTATCTGGGGACGTCTCCAACAATTTAAGGGGTGTGGGAAGCTGAGGAGTGGAAAATTTTCCCCGAACCTGAATGCCTGCTCAGTCAGACTAACCAACATCCCAACACAACTCCTCCTCCACCTCCTCCTCCTCCACCCAAAATGACCGTGGTAGCAGGAGATAACATGGACGAGACCTCGGCTGTACCTGGCCACCCTCAGGACACCTACCCCCCAGATCACAATGACCATGAATGCTGTGAGAGGGTGGTCATCAATATAGCCGGCCTCCGGTTTGAGACACAGTTGAAAACCCTCTCCCAGTTTCCAGAAACGTTGCTGGGCAACCCCAAAAAGCGGATGCGGTACTTTGACCCTCTGAGAAATGAGTACTTCTTCGACAGAAACCGGCCCAGCTTTGATGCCATCCTCTATTACTACCAGTCTGGGGGTCGGCTGAGAAGACCAGTGAATGTCCCTTTGGATATGTTCTCAGAAGAGATCAAATTTTACGAGCTGGGAGTGGACGCAATGGAGAAGTTTCGTGAGGATGAGGGTTTCATCAGGGAGGAAGAGCGCCCTTTACCTGAGAAGGAGTTCCAGCGTCAGATTTGGCTCCTCTTTGAGCACCCAGAAAGCTCAGGCACTGCGAGAGGCATTGCCATAGTGTCTGTGATGGTAATCCTGATTTCAATAGTAATATTTTGTTTAGAGACTTTACCACAGCTGAAAGAGGACCCAATGGGTCGAATGGTGACAGTTGGGAACACTACTGTCTATTACAAGCCAAATATCCTCACTGACCCCTTCTTCCTCATTGAGACACTCTGTATAATCTGGTTCTCCTTTGAGTTGATAGTACGCTTTCTGGCGTGCCCAAGCAAACCGGCCTTCTTCAAGAACATGATGAACATGATCGACATAGTGGCTATCATCCCCTACTTTATTACACTTGGCACCGAGCTGGCTGAAGACCCAGAAAAGGAGGGAGTGGGGGAGCAGGCAACATCTCTGGCCATACTCAGGGTGATCCGTCTGGTCAGGGTGTTTCGGATTTTCAAGCTGTCACGACACTCCAAAGGACTGCAGATTTTGGGGCAGACACTCAAGGCCAGCATGCGAGAGCTCGGATTGCTGATCTTCTTTCTGTTCATTGGAGTCATCTTGTTCTCCAGCGCTGTCTACTTTGCTGAGGCAGAGGAGCAAGGATCCTACTTTGGCAGCATCCCGGATGCATTTTGGTGGGCTGTTGTGTCTATGACAACTGTGGGCTATGGGGACATGGTCCCAGTCACTATAGGAGGCAAGATTGTAGGATCTCTGTGTGCCATCGCCGGAGTGTTGACAATTGCGCTCCCAGTGCCTGTCATTGTGTCCAACTTCAACTACTTCTACCACAGGGAGACCGAGGGAGAAGAGCAGGCCCAGTTGCTCAACGTCAGCAATCCCAACATCCCTTCTGAAACCAACTCCAGCCGCCGTAGTTCATCCACCGTTAGCAAGTCAGAGTACATGGAGATTGATGGAGACATAAACAATAGCATCGACAACTTTAGGGAGGCGAACCTCAGAACTGGCAATTGCACTATAGCCAACCAAAACTGTGTAAATAAAAGCAAGCTGCTTACAGATGTTTAGACACTAGTTAGGAACTTTGGGACCTCTATGAGACTGTCATATGTGGAGTAGACCATCAGTAAGGAATGCTTCATTTACCTCCCCAAAGCACTCTCTGGCATTAGGCCTACAATATCCTCAGCTATATAGAAAGGAAACAGAAAAAACAAAGCTCTTAGAGTATATGAGAGGTAGATAGAATAATTAATTCTTCTGAGCCTACAAATATGTAGGTACATCAAAAAGAAAACAAATGATGACGCATATTCACGGCTCCCTGGAGGACGCAGAGCACACACTGTCTTATCAGATGACAGTGTGATAATTTAAATCTTATGCATGGAGTACAGATAACATTTCAGCAAGTTGCACAATGCACCAGAAAAGTCTGCAGAGACATGCAAGCATCTGCAGCCAAGTGGTAAGCGCCAAGAAGTTAGGTGACCCCCGCTCCTCCCTCTCCCTCCCTTCTCCTTTCCCTACAAAGGATCTACTATTCAGCAAAGCACCTTATAGGAGGAAGACTGATCTCTCTTGTTTGGATGTAAACAGATGGTGATCTACACGCTTCATGGACATCCGCAATGCTGCTGTTTTCCAGCAGATGCTGTAATTCTGATATCACCAAGTGATTCAATGCCATGCCCTTTAGATGCAACACAGCACAATGATAAAGTGAGCTTCACACGAGCATGATTAGAGACTTTCCATTTTGATATCGGCATGCATGGGACATATCTCACATAATGGAAAGGATGTTCTTTTGGATACCTGCCTCCATCCACCCCGTCTCATCTGTTTTCATACTGAGTGCACTGGATGAGTTTTTAATTTGAAATGCTAATAATTTAGAAGTATAGAAATTGAATGTTAAATCTTACGGGAACAGTACATAAATGAGATCATAGCATGAAAAAAGTAACCTGCATTATGGTCTATCGACTAAGGTACTTTTGTATCCTGGTATATTTAATGCATGACATGACTATACAGCTTGTTGCAATTCAGGCACTCTGCAGTGCCCTATTGTCAGGGAAACTAAAGGAAATCAAATTCTGGATGTTTCTGAATTGCGATCAAATATATCCAAACCCACCTTGAGGATGCAGAGTTTCTAATTTAAAAGTAGTCAAAGAAACTGAATAAATATTATTAAAAATGCATATAAGCATAGTAAGCACCAATTACAATATTACATCAATAGTGCAGTGCATGGACCTTCTTTGAACAAGAGATGTTAACATATCATAAGTCATGCTTCCATTTCCACATCAAATTTGAGTTCATATTGGTTTGGAATCCACAGAAAAAAAGGTTCAATACCAAATGTCACTTCATATTACAGCCAGTTATTCTGACATTAGTTGCTAGTGCCTTTATCCCTTTCACCAACAGGACCAGTGAAAGTGCCTCTGTGTACAATGTGATTTGTTAGGTTGAGAAAAGCTGGTTTACCTTCTGTTCTCGTGTTGATACACTGTTGGTTATGATGTTAATGATGCCAGATGAGCAAGGTTGAAACAGCAGGTGATTGCGGTCAAAAAAAAGAAGAGGAGATAATCCATGGCTGTTATGCACAACTCAGTTTTCATTCTGTCACGCACCTAATTATGCCCTTAAGCAGCAATGTATTGTACTCTGCATGTTTACCAATCCAATTCAAAAGGGAATATCCATAGGTTTTAAACATGTTTATTTATATTTGTTGTTTATGTTTGTGCACCATGCATCCTTTCAGGGTCTCTACCTCAGTGAGGTCATTGCAAACTTGCTGCAGAGCTGCAAGCTTCAATGCAGGGCTTCCTATATACCATAATGCAAAATGGAACCTTAAGTGTAAACTGCAGTCATGCAACATTGAATGTGAGAGTCCCAAAGCATAGCCTTTACACAAGCACTTAGGGCAAATAGTGTACCACAATCCCGCTCCTTTTTTTCACTTAAAGCTACGCACAATCAGAACCTTCATTTGTAGAGAGTTTGTAGAGATTGATTGACTCTCCTAATGGGATGAGATTTTATATGTTAGTTTCTTTGAAACAACGGTATCTTAAGTTACTGTTGTGTCACAGAAACACACTTGAATGTGTTTCAACACACATGTATAATAAGGTGGACGACGTTTGTTTTAAATCTGCCATCCTGCAATCTGTGGGCATTATGACGCACAGCAAAGTGCAGCCCATCTTTTTGCACAAACATTTTGTTCTGTTGCTTAAACCTTTTTTTTTTCTTTTTTTTTTGCTTGTGAGAATGTTCTTTCTTTTTCACTGTGCTTGCTCCCGAGTAGTGCATTGTTTCTCAGCATACTATTCCAGACAGGCTAACTGCAGATAGATTTGGATAAATTATAATGACTACTTGAAAATCTCCAGCTACTGTACATCAATCTATACCAGTACTAAGTATAAGTCACCCAAATGACAGTAAGATTTTGTACTGTACTGTACACGTTTTTTTTTTAAATTTTGTTTGGCACTGTCCTGACAAGGTCCTGTAAAAAAAAATCCACTGCAGTGCTACTTGAATGTCATAGTTGTTTCTGTTGGTGCAATGGCTATTCTTTGTGGTGCTAGTACAGGACTACTATTGCTGTCTTGTTACCATCACACGTTATCTGAAGCATCAGCTGAAGCAAGCCTTCGTTAATTGTTTGGGACAAGACTTTTTCCATTCTTTGATTCTTGTTCCTGTTTTGTTATTGGTGGCTGGTTGGTTAGTTCAGGGCACTGTTTGTCATTTTATTTGGAACTGATCTTTGTACTGTACTGCTGAAGAGTGTCTGCCTCAGGCGAGGTAAAAATTCAAGAGCCTTGCTAGATGTCAGTAATTTATCATGAGAGCAAAAAAGATACACATTTGTGTCAGGGATCTTTAGTTTGTATAGGGTTTCGCATACAAAAGGCACCAATAATACCCAATACCATACATTATATAACTATATATAGAATGATATAAGAAAATTATAGTAGTCTCATAAATGCAGCTATCAGGAAATTGTTCGCTTTGTTCCCAAGTTTCTCGTACGATTGATGCTTGAAAGTAGCGATATGTTTAACATGTCCTACAGGAAACAGCTGAGAGTGAGGTGAAGAAAATATAAATGATACCCCTCACATTAGCAGTGCTGTTGCTACTTTTGCTGTGAGGTCATGTATGGATGGTGCTATGCATTCAATTACCCAACAGAAACATGTATTCTTAACAGCAATAGAATAACAGATTGCCTGTTTCTTAGATGCTTTTTGTAAAAAATAGTAAAACAAATCTATTTTGAATGTCAGAGAAGCTGCGATCACTTGACAGATAACTCACAACAGGGCTGTTTATGTACCAACCTCTTACCCTCTGTTCTGTGACTTTGTAAGGTCAGTGGGGTCAAACGTAGAGGCTGACATTTTATTGAAAGAAACCCGTGAAAAATCCAAATATAGGCTTTGTAATAGTGGCAGTCCCCATTAACCACCCAGATCTGACTGAAGTTGTTTTGCAGTCAGGAACAAAGGCTGGTTCAGTTGAACCTATAACACAGTCCCAAAGGGACAGCCCATAATGCACTTAGAGAGGATCTATCATCAGTTCACTGGACTGATCAGCTGTGTGAGAGAAAGTCAGAGAAGGTGCCTAAAATGTTTTACATATTCATTTGTCTAGCTTACTGTTAGATGTTATGCTTCTGCAAACAAACACGAGTGAAAAGATCTTTAAAAAAACCTGATGACATTAACCCAATTAAACTATAAGATGAAATGTCATGAGGACAAAATGCAATTTAGCTACAATAAGAATTAACCACTATATACTGCAATTACTTATGAAAAACAATTTTAATGTGTGTTTTTTATTTTCCTTTTTTTGTTGTTGATGGCACTGTACCATGACTGATTTAGGAAGAACATGCCATATACTGGAATATCAAAGACAATATGTTCGTCTGGCAAGCCATGATAATGAAACTACTGTATTATGATCAATTGCTATACACTAAATGATATGGACAAGAAGTGTACTATTATTAAAAAAAAAACTATATGGTTTGTCTTTTTGGTTTCAAGAAAAAAAACAAAAAAACAGGATTCATTCAAACACCATGTTCACATTTTTCTCCACTGCTGAACCTACTGCTATAATGTATCTCTACAGAAACCTAGTAATCGCAAAAAACTGCATGGTCGATGGAAGACTGCATGAGTTTTGCCTTTCAAACTGTGGATCAACTATAATACAGTTGCATCATTTAAAAAAAGAAACCCTTGCTTTCATCTGCACCAAGGCTTCCTGTAAGGCCCTGTTCAGAAGTTGTCTTGAGACATGTCCTCTGCTGGATCTCTAAAAAAAAAAGCACCTTAGCGCTGACCTCATCACTAAGACGGCATTGGGTGTTCGAGCCGTTCTCAGCGTCTGTGTGATTTTCAGGTTGTGCTTGCTAGGCTCTGAATGTGAGCAAGGACATTAAGGGCTAGTTTCTCAAACTTTATCTCTATTCTAGGACTGAAACGCTCTTTCAAGTGACATTTTGCCCAATCTTATCTCAGTCTAGACTGTAGTGATACTGTGTTGTGGGAAACATGCCCATCATGTCTAAGCAGGGCCTGTGCCGCACACCCTCCTCTGTACTACATTGGTTTTAAGGCATTCTTGTTTGCGAAAGGTCTTGATATCGGACTGCTTTCTGCCTGCTGAGGAGGCACTGAACAGGATCAAATGTTGGGATGTTGTGTACCTCACTCGCCAAAGGTGATCATTGATGAGAAGATCTTGTCTGTGTTAGAAGTGTGATGGCTATGAGTTTGTCTTTTCTGTGAAGAATGCACATTTAATTTCTAGTAGGGAAGTTTTGGAGCAAAGTGCAAAAAGGACTGTTGAACTCTTCTGCTCTTCTTTTCATCCACAAGCAAACCAAACTCTGATTGTGTTTCTAATCCAGCCGTCATTGTCACGTTGTGTTTACCAAGGATTATGCTACAATGTGTTCAGTTTGTCAGATGTGATCTATGCAAGGGTTATTTGTTTTTATTCTTATATCACTTATGATTTCACCTTACATTAACTTCAATAAATTTTTAAGGATCTGATGGTGTATGCTCATTTCAGCTTGGGATGGGGGTGTATATCTGCACTGTGGACTGCACAAAAAGCTACATAAATAAAACCATCTTGTACACTAAGTTGTCACAGCCCTTTCTGCATTGCGCTAACAGGAGAAATATGCTGCAGTGTGTGTTGTTACGGAGCTTGAGGTCTCAATCTAAATGTGTCCTACCTCTGTATTACAGTACCCTCTCACTGAAGCCATTAGCGGTGATTCACAGGGCTAAGGTAATGGTTCCACACTAATCCTACTGTCCCAAGAGAGGCCCGCTTACCTCTGTCGTTCCCTGCAAGTTGTTACACACCCCAGGGGCCTGAAGAGCTCTCCTCCTCTCTCTGTGCTTCCTCCTGTATTCACACGGACACATGCACATCCTCAAAACTGAGTGTGACTCTGAGGTGTTTGTGAACGTGTTGAGTGTTAAATTTTGAAGTTACTGTGGCTGCAACTAATAATTATTTTCATTAATGATCTATGAAGTGTCAAAAAACAGTGAAAAATGCCCATCACAATTTCTTAAAGACTAAGGTGACAGTGTAAAGTATATTCAGTATATTCATTTGTCTTATCACATAAGACAAAGAAAAGCTGAAAATCCTCACATTCGAGATGCTGGTAGAAGGGAATGTTGTAAAGTGTAGTTGCTGATTAATGTTCTGTTGCCCGACTAATCGATTCATTGACTAATCATTTGTAGAAGTTATCTCTTTAGAGGAGATTTTGAATACTTAGTAAAGTTTAGATTTGGGCATCCAGAGAGAATATAACCATTTAAAGCATACTCTAAAACATCTTGTTTCTAAGAGTGTGATTTTGACAACATGTCAGATAAAACTTCATCATAAAAAGGTCTTTTTATATTAATTATGTGCAGTTGTTGAGGGCAGCAACCCTAAAAAACCAGAACAAACAAACCCATCCAATCATAGAACAGTCAAAGGACAATCAAGCCATGGAACTGATATGCGTGGGTGCAGCTTTTGGGGTGTGATAATGATTCATTGCCACTTCTGTCCTCTGATGGCGTGAAGCTGAATATTTGTGGAGAACATTGGACAGCAGAGGCATCACACTGAATGCTGCAGCTCATCTGTCTCTCTATCTGTCCATCTGTCTCTCTCTCTGTGTGTCTCTGTCCCTTTCAGTTTCTCTGTCTGCCGCAGGCTCTCTGTGTCTGCAGCCCCGCTCTATGTTTGCTGTATGGTGACCTTAACAGAAGTGAGCCTCTTCTTCCTTGTCCTCTGCATTGCCCTCAGGAAATGCAGCACTCCTCGCTCTGCAGGCAGCAGCAGTAAGGGTGGGGTGAGCTGGCGCCTGTCCCACTCTTCTTGCACACACATACTCTCTCTCTCTCAGTCTTTGTCTCTCTCTCTCTCTCTCTCTCTCTCTCCCTCCCTCTGCTGAGTGCTGTGAAGCTCCACTGGACTGTAATAGCACAGAGCATCATGCAGAAGAGGAGCTCAGTCATAACAGAGGATATCACACCTGCTTTTGTTAGTTCTCTCTCTCCGTTGTTGGTACTTATCTTTCATGTTCATACGTGCACACACATAGGCATTCAAAGATCCAACCATGACTGTCAGATAACAGTCTACGAGCTCATGTTTACCTTTTCCATGTCCTCTGTGACCATTTGTAGTGAGCGTGTATTTCTTAAAGCTGCACTAATCAATATTTTATTAGCAATGGAATAAATGACTATGTGTAATGTGAAAGATGTTGCTTGCAGTAAAGAACCCACAGAGACTTATCACCTGACTCTGCAGTTTCCCTCCGCTCTAAGAAGTATTTTAATTCATTGTTGAGGTTTAACCTTTACTGTTTTGGTTCAGTCTCGCCACTCTCATCAACGTCATGTCCAGCAGGCAGCTGGCTCTGATATTAAGCCTACTGTATGCTACATGCCCAACACCAAACAACAGACATGGTTAGAGACTAGTTGGTGGGGAGCATTTGGCAGCTAAATTCAATCATTATGAGCACCTGGGCTTCCCTGGTGCTCATAATGTTATACAGCCCCAACCCAACAAACTGTGATGCACTGTGTTCTGACACCTATCTATCAGAACCATCATTAACTTTTTAAGCAGTTTGAGCTTCAGTAGCTCGTCTGTTGGATCGGACCACAAGGGCCAGCCTTCACTTCCCACATACATCAATGACCCTGTCTCCGGTTCACCATTTTTCCTTC